GTCAAACCTGCCAACACGTGCACACGCAAACAGCACAGTCATGCTGCCCATTTCCAACACGTGCACACGCAAACACACCACAGAGTCACGCTCCCCAACACACACACACTTCACGAAAACACAGTTACGTTTCCAAACAAACACACTGAGTTACAGCAGTCTCATGCTTCCAAACATGCGTGCACATTCTGCACGTGCAAGGCGAAAAGGGAAATCAAGGATTTAGGAGGACAACAGGAGAAAACATGCAAGCACTGAACTCTTCCAAGTACTACTGTTAACTGATTCGTTACACATGACAGCAAGACTAGAATAAGATGCAAATAGGTGTTAACTTGACACTCACCGTTATGAAGATTCTCTGGAATTTCTATAAAATGAGCTCCACCTAGTATTAGGAATTGTTTGGACAACTAATTGCAATTTCTTGTCTATCTCATTTTTCCCTGACACTGTGAAGCTGGTTGCATTCAGTACATGACTGTCAACAGAGCTAAAAACACTTCTCATCTGCCTGAATACATCACTTTCTATGGTCACCCATAAAATGAACAGCATATTTACCGTTTAGCAGCTGACGGTGACTTTGCCACTATAATTGCATTTCGATAATCCGGAATCTAAAAAGACACAAAGAACACGATAGAAAATGCTTAAATACTTACAGCTACCTCTTCAGTAACAATTAGCACTAAAATGCCTTTTCATTTCAACAGATAACAGCTTAATTAAATGTAATAATTTAAGTTTATTTTGTTCTTTTTCAAGAATAAAGGTGATAAAGACATTACAATGCCCCTGCCAGTAACTTTGGGAAGAGAATATCCCACAAATGTCATTAGGAGTTTCCACATATAGGTTTACTCTCAATCAACAGTTTAAAACCCCCCAGAGTCAGAAGGAACAAAACAACAATGCCAGGGCTCACAATACCTCCTCCTGTATGTACTGCAGCAGGAAGGGGGAAGCTCTCAGGTTATCCACAGGGAAGCTGAAGAATCCCTGGATTTCTTTCTGGTGTAAATCCATGGTGATAATATGAGTTAACCCTGGGTGAAGGGAGCAACACACAATAACAAGCAGGTCAGGACACACTCATGGCAAAGCAGGGATGCCAGGTTTAAACGCCTTTCTTTGATTCTGCCCACAGTCTACCAAGTAATTACCTGCCCCTCCCCTGCTGTTGATTCAAAAGGGAAAAATAAGTTCCAGGAAGGCATTTAACACTCCTAAAACAGAGGCTTTGCCTTACTGTCCACACTGGCTGTGTGTATAAGCCAATTTCGCCAACGCTGAAAAGAAATCTACTTTATTATACTGCCATATCTGCACAAATTACTGAAAGTGTAACAGCTCAGGAAAAAATCCTTTTTCTAAAAAAAAAAAAGTCCCAACTATGATCTTTAATCATCAGGGTCTCTCACAGTTAAAAGAGGGGGTTAAATGCATGCTCTGAGCTCTTGGCATAGATGAGGGGTGGGAGGGGACTTTTGAGAAAATCGTCTGCAATGTGTCCAGAAGCATCACGGCTACCCTGTGCCCCAGCCCCTTGAGATGTATAGTAAGTTTCACCTGCTTTAGCCAGCATGGATGCCAGCAGTTTGCACACAATGGAGCCCCTCTTTCTCATTTTGCACTGCTTGCTGTAAGGAAAGTAAGGGATGACACCTATGATGTTCTTTGCACAGGAGGTCTTGAGAGCATACGCCATGACTAACAGCTCCATGATGGCTGTGTTCACATCTCTGCGTCGTCAAACAAGAAAAAAAAAAGGGAAAGAGGACATACGGTAAATCATTGGTGCTTACAAACTATGAAACAATGGCAATGCAATGCAATTCTGAGATCTATACTTCTATTCTTTGGGGTGTAAACTGCAAGCAATACAGACTTTGGCATGATTAGCCTAGTACCCCAATCACCCACGGACTCTGGGCTTACTATCCTGTCAGGCTGCCCCATGCCCAGACTACAGCATGTTCTGTGTGCCTCAGAGAGTGAGCATCTGGCCCCCTGTCCTGTTGCAGGGAGAGTCCCAACTTAATGCAGGACCACCGTGTCAGCCAGCCCAGTGCAACGGACAGCCGCTGCACCATCTCTCATTTTAACTGTCCACAGCCGCACATCAATCCTGTGCTGCAGCATCTAGAGTAATGACCTGCACTGGCTCCACTAGAATAATTTTCTACACTATTAATGCATGAAATAAATCATGGAAGCACTTTGCAAAAGGCTAACATACTGCACCCTTTAAAAATTAATCTCAAAACTATCTGAATATGCTTGGCAGACAGGAAAACGAAAACTATAAATAAGCTGTGCAAACATAACCCTTTCTCTTCCTTGCATACTGTTATTCTTCATATGGCAAAAATGGAAAACCACTATTAACAACCTCAGTTAGTCGTGTGCTATATATATACACAAGCATGCGCGTGAACTAACAGACAAATGTTATCCAAGTAATCCTACAGATTAACAGAAAACATCTGGCAAAGTCTGGGATACCAACAAGGTTTATGGAGCCTATGTTGTACTCAGGAGTTAATAAACTAACATCTTCTTCTATTATTTTACAAGTAATGGGTTTCAAATGTCTAGGACTGGCAAGGCGACAGCTTCACACTGTGAAATTCTGGAGGACGTCTTGAGTAATGTTCTCAGCTCTCCAGAAAACCAGTTTGCCTATACCAAACACAATCAGATGCCAATGCACACAGAACGTGTGACGCCTACAAGAGGAATGAGGAAGACTAAGGTGCTTGGCAGAAGTTTTCATCACAAGCCTGCAAGAGTTCACATGCACACAATGCATCCGTGCAGTGTGTAGTTTTCCCCTACAGCAAAAGATTTATTAAGGATGCAAACGCACATTGAAATTATATAGCTGGGGAAGAGTCGTCTGTTAACGAAATCATTTTGTGATCCACTTACCTAGGGATTGTCTGTATGATGAAGATGTCTTGCCCACGAACAGATTCTTTAACATCTACCCGTGTTTCTATTTAAAAAAAAACCAGAGGTGTTGTAAATTAATGTTAACCCATTTAAAACACCGCATCCTGAAACCGACAGAAAGCATAGTCTGATACAATGTGATTTAATGCGTCTCTTCAGCATGTCAATAGTCTTGCACAAAAAGCTGCATGAGTTTCAAGCAATCAAGCCCATACCAGCAGGATGCATTGTGTTACTGGATGTAATACAGCAGGCACCCAAACGCATCTACTCACCTCTGTTGGCTTCCTGGTAGACCACAGACTTCCCCAGTTCAACCCCTAGACGCCTAAACAAGAAAACAGGTTAATATTTTTCAAACTACTGCAAAAGATGAAAGCGATATTAAAATATTTAAAGAACAAAACACTCTTTTTAAAACTTTTGGTGAATAATTTGTCAGATTTTTTAAAACACAATAGCACAAGACCTTTCTCCCCCCAACCCCTAAAGTGACTCTGTGCCACTTGACCAGGCTCAGCTGTGAAATTCAAAACATGCATTTAGTCCAAGGACCCTGTGTCGACTTTTTAAGTACATTACAAAACCCTGTGCAGTGATCACTGTCAAAGCACAGACTGCAACAATAAAACTAATTTCAGACAGAAAGCAGAACCTTGAACATGTATTATTGCTTTTAAGCAAGTGGATGCTGGCAAAGTGAACAAACAGGCATGCAGCCAGGCCATTAGCACAGACCTCACTGCTGTAAGCACACTGCATTCGGCAATTTGATTGTGTTCCCACATCGGTGTAAATGACCGTGCAAGTATGTGAATACATCTCCCCACACTTGGATTGAAATGCTTGTGTATGCAGATATTTCACAGAAATGTATGTTTATACCCATCTTCAAGGTGTCTTAATTTCATCGTAAAATGACTAAGCTACTTTTCTTTGTACTTTTTCTACATCTTCAATGGACTGCTTATGGACACACCAAGTCATGTGCAAGTCACACCGAAGCATAAATGTCAAATGTGACAATGCTGCTCAATCTCCGTGGCGTGCAAGCTACAGTGCTCTTCCACAGCACAGAGAATGAGCTGTGCACTCCAACTGTTAAACCTCACCTGGAGAGCAAAGGCACTGCACAGATTCCAGGAACTCAATCTGTACACTACTGGCCTTGCTGTCCTTTTCAAAACATAAGGTAAATGAGAGGTAATAATGGCTTCAGTAACCTAAGTTCAAGGCAGTAGCTGCATCAGCATGCGTAGCCTGCAAAGGAACAAGTAAGGTTTTATTCCATGCTGAGAAGAGAAGAAAGGAAAAAGTTTTCAGGTCTGAAGAACCGAAAGGTCTCAGCCGAAATGTTCAGTAACCTAATGCAACTACAAAACTGCTGAGAAGGCAAAAAAACACCCCGAAACAATCCTGAGCAATTCTGTCAGTAAAAAAAAACACCAGCCCACTCAGAAAACAAGGTCCAACTTTAGACAAGGCCACCGTTAAATCACGTCATCGCAACAGTAAACTGTCTAAATCTAAAAGTAAGTAATCAACATGCAACTTGAGTGGAGTCCACACAGCTACTGTCTTTAATCAAGGGGGCACAGCAACCAGAGCACCAGCATGTAGAGTCCAGAGCAGTCTACAGTGAAGTTCTGAATTCTGAGCAGCTTCCTGCAGCTGCTACATCAGAATCGCCTGTGGCTGCAGCAGAAAGAGAGCACGCCCGGACCAGGATATGACTAGCCAAGGAACAACTTCCAAGAAAGTAACATTTATCTGCACTGCAGTTAAGATTTACAAGCAATTGGATGTCAAGTGCCATCCCTGAAATGATGATGATATACGTTCTCCTAAACCTGCTTTCTTCAGCTGTCAAGCATGATATTTCTGATGTACAGTATGAAGTAGACTGCGTGTGTGATTTGGGAACTCTCAGTCCTACTATCTGTACAGTACATGGAATGTACTATACAGGACACATATATATACGTATAGCCTCACTACAGAATGCAGAGAGGTAGACATGCGATGCCTTAAGCACCAATCACATGTAGTCTATTTCTGGATTCTAAAGATTATCATGTTCTCATCTTTTTAATCCAACTGTGATGAGCTACAAGATGAATTCAAGGTCTTACTAGGCTGTCTCTTGACATGATTATCCATTGTGCCAATAACAAACATACTTTGATAGTCACACGTCCCTGCTACGATGCTTACAAGAAAATTTCAGTCTCGGCATTCGCCTTGTAAACATTTTCTGCAAGAGCCAAGATTAGTGCAAGAGCTTGAAAACAACCCCTTGTCTGAACTGTGAATGGGAGAAGTCATGGAAATTAAAAGAGTTTTATTAGACTGCATTTGGACTCTTCCTGAGTCTGCTGACACACCTGAAAGGCCAGTAATGAGCCACTGAGTAGAGCCCAAACCTTACTTCTTCGCTGTAAGAGCAACAGAGCTCAGGGCTGTTCTGTACTGCAGAGTCACAGAAGTCGCCACGATTCCATCTGGCCCTGCTGCGACTGACACTGAAGACGGGCAACAGGTTTAGGCTCAGCAGCGGGGAAACTGCATCTGTATTTATTTCAATTTGTGCTTGAAGTTTTCATGCGTTTCAACATGGTTGAATTCACAACTAATAAAAAGCCTGTTTGGCAGACAGCAGTTGATTGACCTCAAGATCTCATCTAGCTTGTTCTCTAATGTACCCAGGGTATCGTCTTCAGCAGCATGGCTGGGAAGCTTGCTGCACACTCCCACAATGGCCTGCATCCCGTTCTCGGTTTTAAATGTACTTTCACGTAGCTCCCACCCGTGTCCTCTGGTTCATGTTTCACTGCTCATCGTGAAGAAGTCCACTGTGCACTGTCTTATTAGGAATATTTGTATCAGGTTCCCTCGCAGTCTTCTCCGTTCAGGACAGAGCACTCGAATCTGAAATTCGGCTCGGACTTTCTCTGACTCTAATGTCTCGGAATCCCAGGTGCTCCAACATAAATACTTGCCAACAAATGTTCTAGCACTGGCTTGTTTTAGTCCTGGCAACACCCCCCCCCTCCCGTTTCCATGGCCGCCAATTTTAATATTTTTTTAACGGTGAAAAAAGCAGGACCTTACAGCTCCCCCTCCCACTTATTATACAATGACCTCTCACAGTGCTGGCCCTGGAGCGCTGCAGTCCCTGGGTTTGATAGCTAACTCCTGATCATCAAGAAGTAAAGCCCTGGAAACAGTGTTAATAAAGGTCAGTTAAGTGAGCATTTGATTGAAATCAAGTGACGAACAGACCAGAGTGGAATGAAAACCAGAAAACACAGAGGCCCTGCAGGACCAGAGTTGACATCATGTGCCTGTTCCCTAGGCTATATGCTATAACCATAGGCTACATTATAAACTGACATGCTCACCAAATCCCTCATCAAAACTGGCAGTCCTGGTCTTTAATACCACCTGTACCTGTGACTTAGAAAGTAGGCCTATCAAGTGACATTCCAGGACTTCATCTGCATGCCTGTTCCTTCGCTCATGACTAAACACCACCAAGGCAGCTTGGACTGAAATATGAACACACAGACCTCAAAACTCCAAAAAAACATGCAAAACAGTGTTAACGATCAGTTTTACTCTCCAACAATACAAAAAAAACGGGCAAAACAAAGCAGGGGGAGAAGAAGCATAAACTGCAACAAAATGAAATTAAAGTTTGCTATTTTCCATAGCAAACTTCCATGATGGACAATCCTAGAAAGATAACGAGAAAATGAATCAATAAACAGTAGATAAGAAATAGAGTCCCTGCAAATGTTCAATTTAACTGCTAAGGCAGAAGATCAATAACTCTGGCACCTTAAACCTGAATGCTTTCTGAAAGAGTTCGTGCTCTCAGTCCCCTACAGCAGAAAGAAGAGTCTCAGGACTGGGTGATAAATTATGATATTCTCTGAAATCTCCCTTTTAATTCTAAGAACACTGTCTGTGCATGCCATTCTCCAACAGACAAAGCAGAAGTCATCTCAAGAGAGACTGCGTCACAATCAGCCCTCAGGATACAGGAACGTTGCATACTGCATTTGTTCATCGGATCACAAACAATTTAAACATCATAAAAAGCCACATACAACCTGGAGTTTTCCTATAGCATTTAAATGGGACTGGAGATAATAAGGACAGGAAACATGAGATTCACTGCATCAGAAAAGCCTAAATAAATCAGAATGTCCTTATAACACCCAAATGAAAGCCCCCTATTTAACACTTGGTACCAGACAAATACATTTAATAACGAACTGTGGGCTTACTGAACATACTTCGCCATTCAACTCAGACCATTAACTGCTGCACCACACTTCTTTTTCTGATCGACTCAATCGTCTGCAAGAACGGAAAACAGCGATCCCCAGCAAATCAGGGCACAATAACATAAGTAAGGTTATGACTTAAACCCTAACTGCTAGGTAAAGAAAGAAAAGACTATCCCACAATTTCACCCAGCCACTTCCAACAACACAGCGCTGCATTTTATCCACAACCCTTTGTGTACAGAACTGCCTCCTTTTGTCGGTCCCAACAGCATGGAAAGACATGACAGGGCACTGCAGCTCAAATAAATACCCCCGAACACAGACACACAGAGGGGAGGCGTTTGCCAAAGATTACTACTGTTCAACCCCGCTCCAGCCTGGAGCAAAGGTGGTGTTTGACGTTGCCCACGAGACTGGATCTAAACTGGTGATAACATTATCACTCCTGAATTACTTCACCTAAAAATGGAAAAAAGACAAAGACTAATGGAAATTTCTTTCTTTGTTGAAAAAAATGCACTTTAATTCATCACACAGGGGATCCCAAAGTATTTAAAATAGCCAAAAGACAGTGAATTAAAGAAGAAAAATAAGAGCCAGGACACACAAGCTGATATATTTTAAGTGCATTTAAATCCAAGAACAAGAGGCACTTTTACAACACTAAGGGTTGTGGGGGTAACAAGTTACCCAGTCATGTTGTTGAAGCTGATACGCCGGCCACTTTCAAGAAACTTGCTCAAGGGCACATTAACACTGTCTCACCTGAGATCTGAACCCTTACCACTTCTCCACTAGATGACCACATGAAGACTTACACTACTCAGACTCTGATCGCTAAATAACTTAATTCGACCCCTCCCACTTACATGATTTCAAATCTTACAAGTCTTCAGAACTCCATTCAAAAGTTACCGCCAAAAGCGGGTGAACCGGAGCTCTCCAGAACAAGACCTGCAGGTCCCCGTTTTAAAGGAATGGGTGTGTATACATAGCAGATTTCACAATTCAGACTCTATAACCCGTGAACTCTCTGCACCCAACCCTCCGAGAGGCAAAATACTGTGCATGCTTGTAGCGGGCGGTGCTTAGTCTGCGTTGTCCTGAAGTGATACAGAACACAGTTCGCCAGAACGAACGTCTGGCTTAATACAAGCACCGTGCAAAACGTTTAGCGAAGCTAGACGTTCTTCCTACTGAGTTAACTGTGCTGTGTCACACACCACGTCTTTACCACCAACCAGCCAATTAACACTGAAGCTTATGCAGTCAGACTCCAGCCGTCCAGGGCTACCAACCCATTTCTGCTTTCCAAAGCCTCAGATCCTTGCTCGACCAGGAGCTCAAGAGCGCATGTGCTGTATATGTGATCTGTATGGGGTCGATGCCGAGCTCAATATGGGTTCTCCCTGTTATTAATCGAGGTTTTGCCAGCGTTAATGGGGCTAGAAATGAGAAATGCCCGGCGCTGGTTCACTATTTTACCTCCCAACCGCTGTGTGCAAGCGGACCCTGGCTCTCATAATCAATAACCATGATAACATACTTACTCGGTTATCTTCCGGGCCAGCTCCGTGCACGCTGCTGTGGAGTTAGCAGAGAACACCCGGTACCCACTTTTGGAAACATTCATTCTCGGAGAAGACGAACCCCTCGGTGCTCGAGAGTGAGAGAAAACAGATTTGTGAGGGACGCCCAGCCGCCTGTGCATATCTTGGAACAGTAAAAACACAGCTTTCTAAATCAAACGCTGTTTTGAAAAAGTCTGGGTGATGCTGTTGGGGTTTTTTTTTTTAAAGCCAACACCTCACCCAACCAACAAGCACACAGCCTTATCTCACTGTAGCTTCCTATCTGTAAAGCCTTTCCGAGCACCAGTAACTGCGGCGCAAATTACTGTAGACTCAACAACAGAGATTGTATCCTACTTCGCCAAGGATTCGCTAAAAGCTTTAGATATATTCAAAAATACGTTCAGTAGGGAACACTTACTTTTGTACCTTTCACCTCGCTAAAAACTTAAGGGGAGCTGTAGAAGCCTAAGAGTGATTAACCGTGTCCTTCGCAGAATACAATGATCTCTGTTCTGTTCTGTATATAAAAAACAAAGGCAAAATAAGACGGTGTTTTTAAATCTAGGCTTTCAATCACCAACTCCTGCGCCAGTTGGGTGAACTATGAAACCGAATTATACTACTACTACGCTAACGATTCATTTCGATTAAAAAACACGAAAAAAGTCGAGTCACAGCTCAAACAAGTGGCGTTTTAAGGCCCAGTTTACAAAAACTGAGTGGTAGATCATTTGCGATGCAAAAAACGACACTCCAACGCCGTTGTTTACAAAAATAAAACTGTAAAAACTGCAGCTAACCGAGTTATTTCTAATGCAGCGTAGACACGGTTTTCTCCGCTTTAAGATTCGTGTTTTCAAAACCAAAGCCCTTCTGATACAAAACACACGAAAAGCTGCGATGGCAGTACGTTTTGTACAAATACCAAAACTTGTACTCTTAACAGACTACAAAACCAACCGACCCTCAATCCAGTTTGTCTCTCAAGCTTCTGCAAAAAAAAACTTTGTTGCAATGCAGGCACTGTACCTAATCGTCCCTCCTCTCGTGACTGACAGTCGTGGACAACCAATAAAAGGCCCGGAAACTGAAAGGAAGGGGCGGTCGCTTGACGAAATTAACCACTCAGAACCCTCTAATGCATGGTGACCTAGGGTCAAAGAGCAAAGGGTGCACTTCCGCAACTTCCTGTTGAGTAGCTGCGGGATTTGAAATGCTGGGTACATTAGTGTGGAGGCTCAGGTGAAAACGGACATAAGAGAACTCCTTCATAAAGAGTATTGCCTGGCGACGTCTTTAATTAGAACTAATACAATCTTTAAATTCACAACAGTATGGAGTGCCGGTATTTCCTTATGCATACAAACGACTCGACTCACCTGCATACACAGTTACTAAGAAATTAGAACGAAGAGTACAATGCTTCTTATATACGCAATTCTGTTTTTAATTGACTTACAGAAAAGCTCACGGCAAAGTAAAGAATAAATCGTTACAGTCATTAATGAAACCGCTGTACAGTATGTAAACAGAAGAAACTATATAAGTGCAGCTTATTGTGACAACGAGTTAGTACAGCAATTTCGTTCACCCAAAAAATAATTTTAGTTATCTGCTGTTGTTTTAGAGGACATTAATAAAAACTACACCCCCATCATAAACTAACAGCCTTCCTTTAAAATAAAATCAACATAATTGATCATTCCTTTATCAGAGATCAGACAGTATATGGCGATTGTTGCCAGGCAGATGTGTACACAGGCTATGAGTACTAGATTAAAATGAAACTCAGTTTACAAAAATATGACACGATAACTGTTGTATAATGCACTGCAGCTTTAAAATCTTTACAGTCCTAACAAATCAATCTTAAAATGTGTGGTAGAATGTTTCCTCAGTTTGCTGGGATTGGTTTAGTTTTTATGCACACCCAAAAGTTCCAGCAAGACAGCAAGGCCTTCCTAAAACTAAACAGTTCACCACAGCTGCTGGCATTTGCTTGCATTAGGCTGGTCTAGTAACTCACAAAAACAAGAGACTTGCACGTTTGTAGGAAAAGCACTACTGCAGTAGTGATGAATACAGTATTCCGTACAGTGCTTCTTTCGGTCGCTTAACAGGGAGGCAGGAAGTGCTGGTTGTATCTTGTCATTTCATCAGAGTCACCCTTTCAGCTGATCAAATCTTGTGGTCCAGGGGGTAGGGCTACCGACAAAGTCAAGTGCGTCTGCCGTCCCACTCTGCCTCGTCACGTCAGGCACCCAGGCTGTCTCTAGAGCGGAGCTGCCCAGGCTAAGCCTCACAGTGTGAGACCTGTGTCGCCCTGCCCACAGCAGGCGCCTGGACTGCTGCACCCACTGCGGGCTGCCGCCTGGGGACTCCCAGCGGGGAGAGGAGCCAAGACAACACGCGCGACCTGAAAAAGAGTTGTTGCTCGGCCACGGCCCCCTTCTGACAGTGGTGGGGTCTCAGTCCACATCCCAGTGTCCCCTTCCCTCTTCCCCCTCCTCCTCCTCTTCCCCCTCCTCCTCCTCCTCCTCAGCAGTGGAGCACCTTCTCCTTGAGCAGGTCCAGGATCACCTGCCTCTCCTGGCTCTCCAGCTCGAAGCGGCGCTCCCTCTCCCTGCGCTCGGCGCCCAGCCTCTCCCGCTCCAGGGCGATCTTGCTCCGCTGGATCTCCAGCTCCTCGCGCCGCAGGGCCATCTCCTCCTCGCGCAGGTGCTGCTCCGCCTCGGCCCGCTTCTCCAGGAAGCTCAGGATCTCCGAGTAGGTCTGGCAGCAGCACTGGCAGGGCCGCTTGGCTGTGGGCGCCGGCAGCTCCGGCAGCTCCTCCTGCTCCTCCGGCTCTGGGGTGGGAAGAACTGGGGGGGGTGAGGGGGGGACACAGACGACGGGGCATCGTGAGTTGAGCTACTGCAGGTTCAGCGCGGTCTCTGACCCTGAACCAGGGCAATCACAGAGACACCCGGTACTCTAGGAAAATAGGAACTCGGGAGGAAATGTAGGAATCCTAACAGGCCCTGTTCAGAAATACTTAAAAATTGCATTACAATAATTTAAAAAAATAATCATTTCCATTGTCCTGCAAGAACTATTCTTCTGTTCTGCTTCAATAAGCATTTCGGAACTTTTGATTTTTGCTGAAAGTTACTACTTAATAGAGAAATACCAGTCCGCAAAGTGCCTCTGGTTTCCATTACACCTGTCATCTTTGAAATGTTACAGAACAAACGCTATTCATTTGTTTTTCTTGCAATCTCAGGAGGGCAAAGCTTAAGGGAGAGCACCTGTGTGAGCCATGCTCTCTCTGTAGTAACGAGCTTCTGGCAGACCACTGGAGTACCATGTGCCAGTCTGCTGGAGGAAAGACTGATCTAGCATCAGCTCACTGAGCTGACGATATCTGTTCACCTGATCTGTCCGTTCCCCTGGACAGAGATGTAGTAATCTAGCACAGCATAGTGGCTCCATGCCTTGTGCCATCAGACCTGTTTCTGGTGCCGCTGGGGTTGACATCGGTGCCGGTTTCTCAGGCTCCGGCTGGCACAGCTCCTCCAGTGCCCTCTTCCTCATTTCTGCGGTCGCCTCATCCTGGTACTTGCTTTCTGTGGCTCCCATAAGCCCCTTCTCCGCCTCCAGCTCCAGCACCTCGTGCAGCAGGTCCTCCTTCTGTGCGTACAGCCGCTCTGTCCCGAACCTGCACACATGGCCAGCAGCCAGATCACCCTGCAGCTCACCACTGGCAGCCCACTGGAGCTCAGCAGGTGTGAGCCTGGTCAGTACCTTGATGGGAGACCTCTGGGAAAAACTAAGGTTGCTGCTGGAAGAGGTGTTAGTGAGGCCAGCAGGGGGCGCTCACCCTGCGGTCCATGTGGGTCCTAATGCCCCAGTATAGTGACGGGGACACTGTACTGTAAACAGGTGCCGTCCTTCGGATGAGACGTAAAACCGAGGTCCTGACTCTCTGTGGTCATTAAAAATCCCAGGGCGCTTCTCGTAAAGAGTAGGGGTGTAACCCCGGCGTCCTGGCCAAATTTCCCTTTGGCCCTTACCAATCATGGCCTCCTAATAATCCCAATCTATGAATTGGCTACATCACTCTGCTCTCCTCCTCACTGAGAGCTGGTGTGTGGGGAGAGTACTGGCGGATGCTGCACATTGGTGGTGGTGGAGGTGATCCCCATTACCTGTAAAGCGCTTTGAGTGCAGTGTCCAGAAAAGCGCTATATAAATGTAAGCTATTATTATTATTATTATTATTATTATTATTATGATTATTATGATTAATATACCCACACCAAACAGATGAAGAGCATACGGGGGATAGCGCTGACTTAACCTGTGAAGATGGGCGGCCGGTCCGAATAGCCCACTCAGGCTGAGACGGATGGAAATACACTAGTGAGCCTGGAGAGAAACAAGTTTGTCCACCGCTATTGAAACCCCTGATCCGCAGAGAGCTAAACCAAGCCTGCAAGTTCTCCTGTAGGGATTGAGATGCTGTGCTCATCTACGCAATAAGAGAGAAAACAGGTGGAAAGAGTCGTACACCCAGCCTCCAAATTCGTTGGATGCAATCTTCCCTTTTCTTGCCTCTATTTACGACAGTAACATCAAACAGAAAGATAAGAAGGTGTCCACAGTCCCCTTTCACTCTGGGGAGCAGGTTTCAAAGCCTCAAATGGAGTTCTGCTCGGCTCTGAGACAGCACCTCTCTACAGGCCACATGACACCTCAATATGTTGCATGGATTGAATAATATGTGCTGCGTCTGTGGAAGGGTTAAAATGTGTTTTTGTTTTTTTTTTTGCTGTTTTTTATTATCTGGGCTTCACTGGAGCAAATTTCAAGCAAATGGCAATAAAGTACTGAACTGACTTTGAATTGAATTGAGTTCAGTCTGCAACTGACGCAGCACAAGATATCTGTATATTAGTTTCTCACCAAAACTGACCGGGCTCGAGGAAAAAAACAGGGTATTGCAGACACTGAGCGGCATTAAAGAGGCAACAGATGCTACTGGGTCCAGTACTCCGAGCCTCAGAGTATGAGAGAGTGCAGAGGAGCAACAGGGGGCTGACCTGCGCAGGCTGGCGAAGTCCTGTTTCTTGTAGTAGTCCAGGAGCAGGGCCGTCCTCTCCCGGCACCGCCGCGCGTCCACCTCGAAGTTCTCGTCCTGCAGGGCGGCGCTGATGATCTCGCCCACCCGCGCCCAGATGCGCCCAGGCTCCTTGGACGAGAAGGGGTTCTGAGCGATGACCTCCCTCAGCAGCAGGATGTCGTGGCGCGCGGAGAATCGGACCTGCCTCTTCCGCGGGGCGGAGGAGGGCCCAGCCAGGGAGAAGCCGCCTGGGAGAAGCCGGGGAGGAGGGAAGGGGGGGTGGGGAACGGTGGGCAGGAGGGAAACTCACAAGTGAGTGGGAGGGACCGGCCCCAGAAACCCCGGTGTGACACCACGCTTCACGCTGTCCCAGCTTCGTCGGCTCTCCCCGACAGGGAATAATTAACTCCCAGTATTTTTCAATTGAGGAACTTCGTGCTGTACTTCAGCGAAGTTCCAGAAAGGGTTTTCTTATTTAATTATAAAAAGCAACGCCCGGTCAATCATGAACGCCCGCTCTTTCATACACACAAGGCGGACAGGAATGAATGTGCAGTAAGCATCGCTGCCCATTACAGAGCTAGTGGGATGTACTGATGCAACCTCAACCGTCGTGTGACCTGACCTCACCTTAATCTGGGGGAAATGTATCCACATAATATAACACAAACTGAACCCAGAAACCACGGACTGCAATTCTATTAAAATTCCACATACGAAGAAATAATCGCTTTTCTGCTCTGAGTCAACAGCTCCGTCACGATAGACGGCTTTGATACCGTACCATCCGGACCGCCCGGCCGCCAGGTGTGCAGATACTGTACGTGTACAGCTCAGGGCGCCCTCAACTTTGCGAGAGTGGTCGGCGGGCTCGGATGTAACATAGTGACTTTCCACACAGCACAGAAGCCCCTCGCCGAGCAGCGGACTCGAAGCATGCACTTGAAACCTGTTCTCCCGCGACGAACAGCGAGCCGAACGACTCTGTCCCTGCCCGGGCTCTGTAATACATTCAGTGCCGTCTGAACATTTCTACATTCAACCGCAGCGCATTTAGAAAACTTGCTAGGCTTTGGCTGTATTGAAGAGCCGGAATCGCCAAGAATACGCGCACGGAGCAGAAGCTAATCACGCCTGCTCGATCTGGGGCTTTGCACCCCGAATCCAAGTAATTCTCTGCGCTCCCGGACTGCGGCAACACACCGTAGCTGCTGCTAGTTCGTCGCTCACGCCAAACAAGTGCACAACGCTACACACAGAGAGAAAAAGCAACGGATACAACGATACATTATTTGTTTCCGGACTTCAAAATTGCAGGGCCTCTTTTTTTTTTTTAAAAAAAACGCGGAATATAATCCCAGTGGGGGGAGAAAAAAAACCATAAAATCTGTAAATGGATTATGATTTGATGAGAAAACATAATGTGTGCGATGGCTCAATTTGTGGATTCTTACCACTGTTCGGCATTTGCGCTACACGTTCCATGCTTTCCCGTATCCCCGATCAGCTGATACGCACGAACTGCTGAGGTCACAGTACACGTCCCCCCACCAGTACAGGTTCCATTCTGACGTGTAACTCAACTTCTCAGGAAACCTGGCGAAACTGGAGGCAAGTGGGGCTGCCATGACGCGCAACTCCCGCAAGAGGGCAGCACGACACCGTCGCCGGCCACAGATCCGGTGAGCTGCTGCTGCTGCTGCTCGACTTCTGGCTGGGTCTTGAACCAGTTCTCCAGAAAATACCCACAGAAGCAGGGTAACCCGCTGTTTTTCTGTTAAATTAAATGAAATAAATCCATGGCGCATATAAATTCACCTCGGTTAATCTGGAAGAATATGAGTTGTCTGTCCTATTCCCTCAGAAATTACACGAATGTTTTAGATTTGAGGGTTAGCCCCAACGGCAGCGACTCGCAAGTATATCTTAAACTGCGCTGTGATTTCGTGGACGTGTTCGGGACTAAGAGCATTGTTTTATCTAAATCTTTTAATGTCAACGGGTAGCAGTTTCAGAGTTATTTTTTTTTTAAATACACGATGGGCCGTGATCCAAAACACCGATGTGAGTTGTTGGATAATATCCTTCGTATTTCCACAAACACCTTTAAAATACGCGCCGTCGTTTCCCTAGCGGCGTTAGCGCCACTGAAAGCAAACGGGACTTCCATTCCATTGGTTATCAATAATCCAGAAGATGGTTTCATTTTTGCAAAGCCTGTCATCCCACTTTCAGACACCAGGTGGGGCGCTGCTTCCTGAGGTCGTGCCAGGGAACTGGAACCAGTCGGCTCCAGGTCAGGTGTACTGTGAAGAAAAACACAGAAGGCGAGGGTCGGAGGTTTAATGCTTAATGAGCAGGTCGTGTATTACAGAATTGAGAACTTGTCACACCTTGACTTGTCTTATGGGTTGCATATAGTTAATTTACGGAAGTCTGTATAACCACCCTAACGCTGGCCATAAAACCGAAAACCACAACACAATGTTGTCCTTCCAAGAGAAGCGGGATGCGAGAACTTTACATTCTCTTGTGTGTTTTTAAATAATTGATTGATAACTTTGCTTTCGCTTGAATTATAATGGTTTCTCTCAGTGGTGGATAATTTATGCACCCCGGTTTTATACTGCGTGGATGTGAACATTGCATGATTTTCATTTCTTTTATTAACTACGAGAACAACAGCACAGAAAACAGCGTCAAAAAAAAATCTCTCCAGGTTTTTAATTAATTTCTCTGAACCCTGAAAAAAAACATGAACTCAGATCTTGCCATCTGTATACGGTGCGTTGGAAAATAATGTTTTACAGTGTAACACGCAGTAACACGGATAAAGATCCAGGAGCCGATTTAATAAAACCCCAGAGTGGAGTATGTTGGTTTCTTTTTTTCTTTTTTTTTGAGTCTGTTGGTTTCTGGGGTCGTATCTGAGGCTATTACGGTGTTAAAACTTCGGTCATGTACAGTTTGTGAACCTGTATGTGCACAGAGGAATCGTCCCTACCGTGAAGATTAAAAAAAGAGAAAAATAACTGCTTGATTTTGCATTTTGTATTCATTGACTGACGGCGACGGTCTTGCTGTATCCGCGGATACAGAGTCTCCGCTTGGTGCCAGTAAGAGCTCTGACATTCTTATAGAACTCACTGCTGGCTGTCTAGGAGATAAGAAAATAGACAGTGCTCAGGCTTCAACCTGCACAAATGTCCCTAATTCGGGAAACATGGATGTCCACGCACTAAGCGCTTTGAGAAGCCACCTTTAAAGGCGCTACATAAAACAAAGTTGCAGTGTCGATTCAGATCCAGACCTTTGGCCTTTTTTTTGTGTGTCATGCCACTGAGAAAACAAACATTACCGAGGTACCCGAGTCTCGAGGAAATGAAAACACAAGAAACATTTTTCCAAATACCTACAGTAGAGAAAGTGAATGAACCACTCAATCTATCAGAGCTTGCCGGTTTCCCTGAGTGTGTCTGTAAATGGGCAGGACTGCAGTGGGACCAGACTGGCCACCAGGAACCTGTTTTTGACACTGTGACTTGGAGGCCCGCGCTCTAATTGCCCCCTGACGATAATTCGCCACGGAGTCGCGATGATGGGCTCGGAGGTGTGGAGATGAGGTGGACTGTGGAGCCTGGTTGCTGATGGCTGAGAGGCGTTAGGGGTCGGCGGGGGGTCAAGATTCCAGGCTCTGTGTGTGTGTGTGTGTGTGTGTGTGTGTGTGTGTGTGTGTGGGGGTCAGGGTTACCGTGGCAACGCCTGATGCTCAGTAGTTTGTGCTGCAGGCCTGCAGGGCACTCAGTCAGCACGGTGCTGGCCGGCGTGATCACAGTGCGTTACCATAAGCCCCTGTGATGTGCGTTCCCCGGGCATTATTCCATAAAATAAAAGAGACACCCTCCCACTCAGGCTCGAGAGGAGCCATGAAGTCTTCGACGGATGCGCTGATGCGATCGGGGGGCTCGTCCAGTGCATGTCATCGTCTCACTCACTTTTTTTTCTTCTTCTTCTTCCAGCAGATGGGAGTTAATAATATTTTCCAGACTGTCGGATAAACAGGCTAATGGTTCTTGTTTGACAGTGCCCTTCTGTGAGAGCTCTGCATT